GTGTGTGTGTGTACAGATTCTTGCTTCATGGTGGTTACAATTATTGGCCATTTCCCCGGTACACACAGCCTGGTGAGGTTAGGGTTTGGGTCAGATGTGTAGTCTACCTGGGAGGTTATGGTTGGCTATAGAATTGATGGGAAAATGAATGGAAGCCARTGCARAGTCCCCATGAGGATAGAACAACAAACGTGTGTGCGCAGGAGGTGTGGAGCGGAGCCCGCGAGCAGAGCGCAGTGTTATTAGGAGAGATGAGACTGTCGGCGTGCGGCCATTGATACTGCTGGATTGATTTGTTTTATTGAACATGATGAAAACTTTTAGTTTGAGCGGGCGACCGCTCCCTCTCCCCCTCATTTTTTTAGTCGCACTATTAGGAAATCTGGTCGCATTTGCGACCAAATTGGTCGCACTCTAGAGCCCTGAAAACAMTGCACTGATCAGAGTCTTTCCAGCCCAAGGTAAAACTTTTGTACTGTCAGCATTTCCACACTATTTTTATTTTATCAGTCTTTAGTTATTCAACATACACCAACCTGGACACAGAAAAAAAAAGGTTATTATCTCTAACTAGGTGATTGTGTAACTATAAAATCCACAATTCCACAGCACCATCTGCACTGGTTTGAGCATGTCATCAAGATGCTCGCCAGACCTTCAGCCTTGCATGACACTTCATGGCCAAATTACAGCATTGGCTTTGGTCAGCAGGTTTGTAAAAGTAAAAGAAAAAAAAAGGCTCAAGGCTTCAATGAGGATGTGAACCAGGTGGACGGGGCTGACTGTAGCAACTGACAGCAGAGTTGAAGCAGAAAAAGATGAAAAGTGACAGGAAAAATGACACAGATGGAATTCACTCAAAGCTGCTCTCACTACAACCATAGCTCCTCAGATTGCTCTGCACAGCCATCAAAAGGCTGACTATTAAGTACAGGATTCTCTGAAATTCACTGAACTGCCAAAATCAAGTATGTATGTGTGCCTGCCTGTATAACCTAGTTTGTAAGTAAGTGACAGAGAGAAAAGAGCAACGAGAAGGGAAGTGTCTACAGTACTGCATGAGAACTTTTACACAAAAACTTTGTTGATACCAACATATGTGTATCGGGTGTCAACAATCTTCTAAAGTATTTTTGCAMTAGCCCAGAGTAAAATGTCTTTGTGTGGTGCAGATGTCAAACAAAGGTTAATCTGACCACCATGCAAGCTTGTATTAATTTAAATTTTAGCTAGGAAGTTTTAAAAAAAAAMAAACAAACAGAAAAAGTGTTCACATTTGACGTGTATGAGTTGTGTACTAATAAAATAAAAGTTAACTGATAAACAAAAGTAAAAATTCAAAAAGCTCAAGTTGATATAACAATAAGGGTTAAAATGTGTTAATTTTTTTCTTATGTCAGCAGTGTTCTTTATTGTTTTATGGAATTATTTTACATGCACATTTTTGCTAAAGGCCCTGTCACACTGTAGCATTTTGGACAACTTATGCCAACTTTAAGAACATCTACGTCGAAGATATAATATAAAAAAATCAACTAGAAGCCTCTTTTAGGAGTATACATAATGTAATGCTAACAAATTGATGACATACTGTATCTAACTTTTATTTGTCATTTAGTGGAAAAAAAACATTTCACAAGTTGGCATAAGTTGTCTAAAATGTCATAATGTGGCAGGGCCTTAATTAAATAAAATAAATGTTTTAAAATGATCAAATGTTCCCTTTTTTAAATATTTAAACAAATCTAATACATTCAGTATATTTCTTATGACATGTTTTAACATGGTTGAAAAAATTTCATTGTTTTTCAAAGATGCCAAAATTGTGTTTTTCTGAGCTGCTTGCTCACAAGAAAACTGACCGTGTACATTGCCTTTCCAGATGGAGTAATTCAGTGATCAACAAACAATTAACAAATGTGAAAACACGGAATATTCAAACTAAAAATCCTTACCTCTTCAGCATAGGCATCACAAAGTTTATTTCCAGAGAGTAGCTTGTTTTTCAAGCTCTTGTTCTGAAAAAAATAAAAAATAAAAAATAAATAAAAACAGGAAGAAAAAAATGACATTTATGTTTAGACTATAATCTGCACATTTTCTCTCTTGGAGTTCGTGTTCTAGTTTCTGCAGCAGTGCATCTGGCTGCATAGGAGGCTTGGCAGCAATTGCTCTGTTGGTTTTATTGTTTAAATAAGACTGAGGAGCAGTCCCATGGGAATATTTGAGGATCCACTGAGATTCTCAGGCCTTTGAAAAAACAGAGATGTAGTGCATGTTAAGACCAAAAAAGGCTAATTTTTGTTAGTACAGAACTACAATAATTTTACAAYCAGTGAGTACACAGGCTCAAAGTACAAAGTATTGGCTTTTTAAGATTTGTGCTGCAGTTTTATTTTGACGCAAGAGTGTGTTTTAGAAAATAAAGACACAKTATTTAAAAACAGCAATGATCATTTCTAGATTACTAAAGTACATATATCCCTTTAATAACTAGSTTTTTGCACACCTGAAGTGTTACGTACTGCAGTAATACAGTACATTACACCATGAGTACATACCTTTAAGGAACAGATTTTTTTAAAAAGAATAAACCATAATAAAACAAAATTCATACACAAATACATATCCTGTTGCTAAAATGAAGATCACCATAAACACAGTGATAATAATAATAATAATAATAATAATAATAATAATAATAATAATAATAATAATAATAATAATAATAATAATAATAATAATAATAATAATAATAATAATGCAGTGTGAATTTATGCTGCAAGATGACACACCACTAAGATCAGTTTCTCTTTTTCCAAAGTACAATTACTAAAAACAAATCTGCAAATGACACAGCTGTGAGAGAACATGCTGAGACAGAAGAAAATGAGGCCTGAAAGTGATAAGAGCCATTGTAGAGAGCGGATATTTTCCTGTATAATTGGCAATGATCTGTTAGTAAGAGTGCTCTTTAAGTAACTTAATGCTTACCCCAAAGTACATGTGCAAATCTCAAGATGAGCCAATAAAACAGCCTAATCAACCATGACAAAAAACTTTACAAAGATCTAAAAGACTTAGAATTGAACTATTTCCAGCATGTGCATTAGGGAGAAACCCATTCAGGCAGCATCAACTGTGAATTGAATCTAGACAGACAATCTCAGGGAAATCACACAATTTTGGAGGGAAAGCTACTTGGGGAAAACAAGCAAAATGCAGCAAACATAACACAATGTAATGTTTAAAGTTTCCATTTAATGTTTATAGTTGTAAGTATATATGGGTATGTTTTTTGGAAACAAACAAATTAACAAAAACAAACAGCTGTTGGAATCCATGTCACGTCTACAAGTTTTTGCATCTTTTTCTGCATTGTGTGGTGTTTCAAGACTCAGTCTTTATGGAAGCCTTTATAACCTCCTCATCATTATGGTGAAAATCAGRTTTTGTTCACAAATATGCACATGGGTATGCATATATCAGAGGTGTATAGTAACTAAGTACATTTACTTCATTACAGTACTTTAGTTATTTTTTGAGAATTTCTAATTTCACCAAGTCTTTTTTAAACTGAAATTTTTACTTTTATTTTATTACATTTAGAATGTAAAAAATACCTTTGTTCTTTACTTTAAGATTGAACTCTTAGTTACATGTTACAAATTCAAATAGGACCAGAACAAACCATGAAATGAGTTGTTTATGCATTTAAAAAAAGTGTGTTGAATTTACTTAACTAAGGTAGATCAATTGGTTCCACTAAACCAAGTTGAGTAAATGTAAAGCAGTTTATATTTTTTTTAAAAGAAAATGTGCAAATTGCTGAATTTATTCAATTCATTTTCATGGAACGAGTTTGTAAATTCAACACTTCATTCCTTAGCRTGTGTGTAAAAGTACTTTWACTTTCCTGATTATTGTGAGCAGTTTTATGACTTTTACTTAATTACTTTTTACCAGTCCTTTGTTGTTAAGGTATGTTGTTACTTTTACTTACCGGTAGTTATTTACTTTAAGTACTATGTATACCTCAGGCATGTATATCAGTACACTAAAGTCAACAGTTATCTGCAGAGTCCTGCAGAGATGGTCCTACTGTACAAAAGAGAGTGCAGATATATATAAAAAAAATCAGACTAATAATTTCCAAAAAAGAAATAGGCAATCCTGTGGAAAAGTGTGTGCACCGTTTCATAGCTGCTCATAACAGATTTTAAGGATATTACCTTTGCGTATGAGAGAAATTCAGTCTGAAATTGTCACTGCTGAGATGTACTTATCAAAACCAACATGTCTGCTGCATTTCTGTAATCTGTCCTATTTTGCAATGCACTTCTCCCACCCACACATGAGCTGTGCACTGTACTCCCTGACATGCCCACTGCATGCACACTGAGCTGATGTAATGACTGCTATTGGCAGCTGTTTTGTGATTCATTGGGGCAAAACTGCCTGAGTATCAATTCCACCCAGAAATACCTTCTCTCACTCACACGGAGGGAGCACCATCCGAGGACGTGTGGGATTGGAAGCTATCATAAAGTGTGGCATAGTTTAGCTCCAGGACATACTGACAGTGAAAATAAGATCCTTTTGGAGTTTATAYGTCTCATTGGATTATGCAAAATTAGATACACCGAGCTCTATGTGTCATAATGTGTTACTTTTCCAGCCCTGTCATCTTCTGGACCTGAGAGTTTCTTAGTTAACAAGTTGTTAATTTGCTCATTTTCCATTCCAATTTTAGGTAATTTCAGGTTTTTAAGAAGGATGAAATTTGTCACAGCTGCTATTTGACGAGTGGCAGAATACACCCAGGATGAGTTGCCAAGGCAAAACAAAAACACACGAGTCAGAACACAYGCCTAAACCCACTTCTAAAGTCAATTCAGAATCACCAGTTAACATGCCTAACATGCATGTTTATGGACAGCATAACTGGAGTAAACATGAGCTGAACTGGGACTTGTTTTTGCTTTGAGATGAAAGTGCTAATCACCACATCACTTAGTGTTCATATTTTACATTGCCTGAATCCTCAGCTTTTTATCTTACTTGATTTAAAAAATGGTATTCCCTTGAAAGAATGCATGTTGCCTACAGAATTTCGTGACAGATCTTTAAACAACAGTTTTTTTTCTTGTTTATTCTAAGGGTTGTTCTTGGACATTATACACATGGACTATGTGTATAAGATCATTTTTAGCAACCACTACACTAAATTTTAGCTTAGTATGGGCATACTCTATGTCTGTGTGATGGACTGGAAACCTGTCCAGGTGTCCCTGGACTGGCCCCCACCCCCAACCCCTCCAGGCGCCAACTCTATGTGTCTCAGAATGGCAAAGAGTGTAAAATAAAATGCGAAGATAGATAAGAAACTGTGAGACATTTAATTTAAGTGAYCATTAAAAAGCAAAAAATAAAAATAAAAATATTTTCCTATGTGCCTAATACTTGAAAGACCTCTTCCTGCTGTGAAAAGGTAACTAAATAGCTTCAACTTAAAATCAGTTTTTAATCATTTATGTTGTATTTTTATTTGAGTAAAATTTTACAAAGGTACTTTTACTTGTAAGTGGGTAAAACCCACTGAGTAACTGTATTTCAGAATGTTATTTTACTACTTTTTCCATCTCTGGGTATGGGTAAAATAGACTGAGTTATAATCATTTTGGTTTAAGTTTAAGTTTTTATTTATTTATAAAGCACCCTTCATACTAAAAGCAGCTCAAGGTGTTGTACAAAAGTATGCACAATAAACCAACCCATAAATAAAGAAAAAGAAAACAGCACCACCAAAACACCACCACCACCACCACCACCAACAACAACAACAACAACAACAACAACAACAACAACAACAACAACAACAACAACAACAACAACAACAACAACAACAACAACAACAACAACAACANTAATGATCAGGAAAGATACAGTTAATGGAATACAGTTAAAAATATGTGTCTTAAGCCTGCTCTTAAAAATAGCAACACTCTCTGCAGCCCTCACATTATCATGTTGCTGTTGGCTCTAATTGTTTAGCTGCAGTGGCCATATTGAATTGGTGTTAATTAGGTGTAAATGCACATTTATCAGTTACTTTTTGAAACGTTGTTAAAATCTGTTCCAGTGGTCTGTGAGATATTTTGCTGAAAGACAGACAGAGTGATCGTTAAGCTTTCTTCATACTCTCTCCGAACTGCCGACGTGGGCACGGGTTGTCGCAGTTTCGTGATGAAAATTACGTCACCGGGCTTTGCAGTGTCAGCCCTGCCGCCCCTTTTGGCACAACCTGCTGGCAGAACTTTTTACGCCCCTCCCGCGACGATGGTAATGTGTGATTGGTTTGAAGTTCGTGGGCGAGTTTGTTTGTGCTGAAAGTGCTCGGACACTCTAAAGAAAAAAAGTAAAAACTTGCTTCCAGAGCCACTGTTACCAGGAAGCAGAGTTTTATAAAGATWGTCAAACCGTGAAAAAACTCATGAATGGAGATAAAAAAAGACGTTGTGCACGGAGGAATCTGACTGATAAAAAACTGTGGAGCTTTAACTGGGACAGATTGTGGATAAATAACGTCAGGTGAGTGATGAGTCTGACTTTTTTTTCCGCGTTGTCGGCTGTAGCGGGAAGGAACTCCATGAAGCGACGTATGTTGCAGCGGGAGGGGCTTCCCAGGAGCTCGGCGCGATGTGTCTCTGGAGCTATGAAAGGTCTGTGACAAAATGACTGCCGAACAACCACGTGAYCATGCGTCGACTGGTCGGCATCGCAGCGAGTATGTTTCAGGCTTTACAGTTAATGACAAAGGTTTAGGCCAACATTTTGCACAAGTGTGATTAAATTCAGCTTCAACCTCAACATGTCAGCTTAGTATTTAGGAAACTGATTTTTTTATGTTTGTTTTGTAATTGCTGAGATTGATTAACTGTGGTAGCTACAGTGTATCAAGTTGACTCCCAAACTTAAAATCATCATGTATTGATGTACTGTATGTCCAAATATTACT